GTTTTAGATGGCAGTCTTAATGCTAGATATGAAATGTAAGCTAAAACCCACATAATCAAATAACATGGGCCAATCAATAACGATACTCACAGAATTTGCAAATAGGTATGAGATCAGCTGAAGAAAATAATTTCACATTAATATCACCGAACAAAGCATGAAGTAGGGTACCACTTTGAGGTGCCAGAAATCAACACTAGTCATATTAAATACCTGAGTGCAGAGCAGAAACCAATTTCTGTTTGGCAGATCATCAAAACATTGCCATTGAAGGTGGATAATAACCTCTATCTCGGGTTGTGTAGGCTCTATGAATATGAGTTAGAGCTGTTTGAATAGCACAGATTCTAAGAGAGCCACCCACTGGACAAGGATTATTACTGATGGCAGCACAAGGAGAGCAATTAGTAGAAATACTCTATTTTATAAGCTCCTGCTCAGTTGACACAATAGGGTTTGTTTCAGCCTGAAAATAAAAGTGCTTTATCTCCAATTTAGCTTAGAATCATTAGTCTGAGCATGCTGCCTACTATGCGAGAATAACTGAGGCATTTTCAACTCCATCTCCTAGCATATAAAGTATACTAGTGCTAATACAGGTTGTCACAGTTTGTTGCAATGGCAACCGTGACATTGGCATGTTAGCTGTTTCCTAGTCTGCCTTTAAATTAAAAATGGCTGTTTAATCCATTAAGCTGTAAGACCCCACTGATTTTAATATTCTTAGATTCTATGTTAGGTTTCCAGTTCAGACTCTAGATCGACATAGGCAGGATATTTGTATGCTGCATCCCAAAGGTTTCCCATCATGCTACATGGCACAGTCTTTGGCCACCGCCAGTAAATTGCAAGCCCACAAAACCCTTTTCCATTCCTAAGCTGCTTTCTTGTTCTGAAAACCTTAAGGACTTGGGTGGTTTTTTAAAATGTAGTGTACTTTGAGGTGCAGAATTTTTAGGTAACTTTGGGAAGTAAGGTGGTGGTAAATAATTCCTGAAGGTGGAAAGTGCGCTGCAAAAATTGGGTGAGGTGAACTTGGATTTTCTGTACTGGTCCCCTGAGTAGTTGGGCTGTGTGAGATGTTCAGCAGAGTGATCAATTAAATCTAACAGACTACAATTGATTTCTATTCCAGTAAGTGATGTGGTTAGCATCACATCCCTGGTCAGGCATCCATTCACAGCTGGGCCAGGTCAACAGTCTTTCCTGCCCAAGTACGGGGGGCCAGACCCGATGATCTGTAAGGTCCCAACCAGTCCTTAACATCAATGAAACGCTGACAGCCTTTGGCACAAGTCCAAAGCAGAGCTCAATCTCTTGCCTCTGGAGTTGTAGCCAGGTACCTTAATTGCCCTACCACCACATCCCAGGTTAGACCTCACTTCCCCACAGCTATGCTTTCAGCCAGAGTAAGTATTACTGAGCACCCAGCAATGCTGAGCACCCAGCTCTCCTCTGGAAGACGATGAGATGTACCAGTACTACGGACTTTGGGGATAGCAGGCCCTGAGGTGATTTGCCTTGCATCAGGTACAGCCCATGGCAGAGCAGAGCCTGGGATTTACATTTCCTGTGCTTGTGTATCATGCTGTGCCCTTCCTGTGTGTGCATGCAATGCCACTGAAATGCAGCCACCTCCTGCTGTTACTCATCCAGATTTTTTTAATACTTGCAACTATTTTCTATACATCAGCATCATCCATAGTTTTTACTGAGGTGGGGCAAGCAGTACTTTTTGGGGTACTTGTTACCCAATGATTAAGGAACTAATAGACATCAGATTTGTATTATCAATAGCTATGAAGAGCCTTTGTGCAGCATAATGGCTGTAAGCTAAATAAATGCTGATTCATTGTTGATCTGTCAGCAGCTTTATTTTTCCTCAATGTGTAATGGCTTTAATCTATGAGATAATTGCTTCATAAAATTAATTGCATTAAACAATAGGAATTTAATTGTTGTAGCTGTTTAATGCTAAAAACAAGTTGCTGAGAACATACTATGATGTATTTATTTCCGTTGGGTCAGATGGTACTGGTTTCAGTTCACTAGAGTTCTGAGAAGAGGGAAAATCGAAAGGAAGTTTTATCAACTTTGTGCCACTGAAATAGCAGCGTGGAGTGTTTGCCACTATTTTGTCACAGAGTGACTCCCACCAGTGTTGGGCTATGATAAGTAGATACATAGAAGGCTTACAATGCTGGAAAACTGAGTAAATATGGGGAGAGGGGGAATCTCCTGTTTGTAAATGTCAGTTTAATAGTTTCCGTTTAGAATGTCCCAGATGTAGAAATACAACATCAAAAATAGGGTCGGTCTACCAGCAAGAGATTTAAAAGATGAGAGAGAGGCAGCACATTGTGTCTAGAAGGCTTCGTGTCAGCTTCGTTGCAGTGAGATGCTGTTAAGCAAAGAAAGACCAAGTGGGAAGGAGTGAGGCATGAGGAATATAGCAGCGGAACAAGAGACGCTCCAAGAATGAAAAAGGGATGTATGTATTTAAAGAACTCTTGCTTGGCACTTCATAATCCTATTCAGTCGCTCTCCATCTTCTCCAAGGGAGCTATGCTGTTTAAGACGTTGCAGAGTCGGTTGTTAGGGCACTCTACCTCAAATCTTTCTAAGCAAAATGAATTCTATATTTAAATAGCAGTGGAAGGTCCATTAAAGACAATAAAAGCATAGCACAGTATGAGGAGGGCAAATGAAAGTGTAATGCAGAGTCCTATCATAAAGGATTTTCACTTCAGAGACTGTCAGGCCTGACATATACTGAGGCGCCAAGGCGCAGCAATTCTGTGCAAGAAGCCAAAAGGTATTTCCATTGGAGAGTCCACTCAAGTGGAAAGCAGTTATTTCCCTGGCCTTTCCATTTATTTGTAAGCTTGTTGAAACCAAACCATGATAGCAATCATCTGAGGGAAGGAGGTGAAATAATAGAGATGGTAATTTGTATAGTAGGAAGCGTTCTTTCTCTAAGTTGAGGATGCACAAAATGGATAAGTCTAACGCTAGGGGAAGTATATATTTTGACTATTGCTTAAAAGTTAGTAACTGCCTTCACGTGCATGGAGCAGTGTTTCTAAGGAAGTCTTGCCCTTGTTAAGAGCTGCCTCCTTCTGACATTTTGACACAGGATTTTGTTCTGGTCTCATATTTAGAATTTGAATTATTAAAAGTTACCCCACTATCTGGGTGCTGAATTAGTTATTTTGATAAAAGCACCAGAATTTGGAGTTGAAGCTGAAATCCTGTAGAAAGGTTACAGTGATCTTGTGGTTGTCACTTTCTAGGAAAATATAAAACATAAAACTATAAATCTGCTTGTCTCTGCAAGCTGGAAGTTCACCAAGGGAGAAGTATGTCTTGCCACAAATAAACTGTGGAGGCTGCTATGTAGAGTTTTTTGTTTGGTTTGGTTCTAAATATAATTGATATTTGAGTTTACTCCTGATAGTGACCCCTTGCCTTAAAATAGGTCCATCGTTTGTGGCTCTTCCAGTTCAAAGATCCATATTTGTGTTGGATTCTGTACTGGAATAGTTAAATGTTTAACCTTGGTCTTGATAAAATGTTTGTTTTTGTGCTGTTAGGGTTGCATACAGTCTTTTGCTTTGGCAGTTTTCAGAGGTTGAAAAGTGTCACACTAGTTCACTTGGAGCATCTGTTTTCAAGTTTGGGAGCCAAAGGGCTATCCTGTTTCCATTTCTGTGTCTAGGAGTGGCCGGAACTGTGTGGCAAGGCCGTCTGTGTGGTTTGTAATGCAGTCGGGAGCAGTCGGGAACCATGGTCCCACTCCGTAGGTGTTGCACAGCTTCCAGGAAGATTGCCCTTTTCACAAGTCCATATTTCAGGGGTTTTCAACATTTTACCCTCAAGGCAGCCCTCCATAACTTTGGGGAATTGAATAGTATGCCCTTTCAAAAACTTGTTTATATTAAGTGTTACTTCCTGCAGATCAGCTGGACAGTGGGAGCAGGGCAGGGGTCAGGCCTGGACCAGCCAGAGCCTACGCTTATCCCCTAACACCACACCTGCTCATCTCCTCATGCCTCGTGGCACCCCAGAATGTCCCAGCACCCTGGTTGAGAATCACCGCTCTAAATAAATCATATGAAAGCCGCTTGTCCTGCACCTGGAGCATTTGCCATTTAAAAAGAATTCAGACGTTTCACTGCAACTTTTTCCTTCCCATTTTGAAGCCAGAGATTCCTGCATTGGTATCCTGGGGCTGCAGTGGCAGCCTGAAAGGAGAATGTGGCAGTTCTTCCTGCGTTATGTAAGAATGTTGCCTCTGAGCTCTCTAATTTTGTTGAAAAAAATGTCAAAATATTGGTGATGCTTATCTTTAAACTGTCCCGTGTTTCTGAGTTGACTGTCTTGTATGTTCTGAAATGCCTCCTGACCTGGCCAAACGGGCAGGATTTGGGCTATGCTGTAAAACAGCCTTGAATTTTTTTGCTCTCATTTCTAGTATAAATGTTTCTGGCATCCCTCCCGTTATATAGGCATAGCTATAAATAGCTATATCAGGATCTAAAATTAGATTTAGGAGCATAGAACTGATTGTAATATTAATCTTTGCCTTTAAATGTTGCGGTAGTATTTCAGCGTACTTACGGGATTGGTACAGCTTGAGTAGAAAACCAACTTGAGGAATTCCAGAGAGATAAAGCCACTTCCTCTGTCGGGCATGTATCTGCTCTAAGATACAGAAGAGTTGTTAATGTTTATCCCAACCCTCAACTCCAAATAAATGATTTCCTCAAGCAGGTAGAGCAAGCTTCTCAGTTTGTTAAATCCACCAACTCAAACGCATCTTGGCAATTTTATAGAAAAAATGAGAACATTGCATTGTGTGTGTTTAATTTAACCCTTTGCTCACTGCAGAGGATACTTCTCCAGTTTTAGTCTGTCATGGTTTTGTGGCAAGAGAGGAGATTTAAATATAAAATGACTTAAATAGATTCAGTGACACTGTTCTTTTCTTTCTTTGGTAGGATTTTTCCAATTAAAGATGTACCTGCAGAGCCTGAAGCCCTCACCCATTGGCTATATCAACGATTCATTGAAAAGGAGGATCTCTTGTCACATTTTTACAAAACAGGTAGAATGTTCTCCAGCAAGAGAGTACTTAGTAATGCTTTGCAATTCTCCAGTGCCTTTTACACAGGGGTCTCGGAAGGATTTAAGAAAACGCAGTTACTGTTTACAGCATCCTCAGACTTTGTCCTTCACCTTTTCCATTTGGGGAAGGATTCAGAATAACAAATAGTAATGACCTGATTCTGTTGCACATGTTGCACAATGCCAGGCAGGGTTCTTGAATTAGAAAGGAGTATTCAAAATTGATAAAAGGAAATTCCTTTTTTTGTATCATGCGTAATTAAACTGTGAAACCCATTGCTAGAGGATGTTGAGGCCAAGAATTAGCAAGATTTGAAAGAGGGAGCAAAAATGTATGTGCATATCAAGAATGTTCAGAGTTAATGCTAACAAATTTTGCAGCAATGCAGAATTACAAAATATTTTGAACTGTAAAGGAACAGGATGAGAATGTCATGGGCCGTGCGTGGTGTTTTTCCTGTATCTGCCTTTGCAGTTCTTAAATTTCTGATGGCTTTGGCAGAGGTCACTGTTGAAGAAAAGATGCAAGGTCAGATGGATATTAAGGCTGAGCAGTAGGTCATTTCCTGTGTTTCTGTTGAAACAAAGCAGGAAGAGGGTGTGACTTACTGATGAAGGATCTGTAGTATGTCCATGGCACAATAGGGTAGACCTGGTGCCTGAAAGTCCCCATAGCAATGAATGGGGTAGACTTGTTCTCTGACAAGTCCGCAAGTAATGAACGGGGTAGATGTGGTGTCTGAAACTCCCCATAGGAATGATTGAGGCCCAGTTTGATGCTCTCCATAGCTGACTGCACTTTCTCCCTCCCTCAATACATGAGGTACTATTTGCAGCTTCTCTACAGTAAAACTCCCTGAATGAAAATGGGTTTCAAGGGCACTAATCAGGCTCTAATAATGTTACTAAGGAGACATTGGCAACTAAGGTGCCATTTTCTTAACGTATATCTGCCTTTGAAAATAAGACTGGGGAACTTTTCCTTCCTTTTCCAGCTGACAAACATTAAAGTTCACCACCAGTCCCCTAACACCTCTGTTTCTTTGTTGTTGTTTTTGTACAGAGAAGTAAAATTTGTCATCGCAGGAAAAACAAGAGTTTAGTTTTAGAGGGCTTTTGGCTGGTGGGGTTATAGAAAACTTAATAAAAGAAAAAGCTTGAGTTCCTTTTGGACATTTAATATAGGGAAGCAAGTTTATCATATTGACACTGCCTGAGAAGGATGACTAATCAAAATACTGGAGTTTTTCTTTTTATAGGAGAAAAGCTCTTTTATTACATTCCTTATTGTGCAGATGCCTACAAATAGCACTCAGGCCGCCCACACAATTAAGTTAAATGTTGCAGAGTCTTTATGTAAGAGATGCTGCTTAAAACGCAATGGTTTATTGGATACAATTGGATTATTCATTACTAATAGAAATGGGGAATCAATTTTATATAATTTACCATGGTAGTATATTTGATCAGTGATAATGTAATGTATAGTGCACCTTGCTTTGAGAGGAGTAAGTGGTCTTTTCTGTTGTCCTGTTTATTCAAATGGTCATGTAACATCACTTAGCATACCCAGCAGTGTCTCTATTGGGTCTAGTTTATGGACGGACCCTGCACCTAAACAGACTTGACTGAGATCCCATTAGGCACTGCAGGATTCAGTCTATGAATATCATCGGGACTCTTTTTAAACTTTGGTCCACAAGAATATGTTCCTTGTCTGGTAGCTCAGATCCATAGTTCTCTTTAACCTGATACAGGTGATTTTCATGGCTGAACTGCAGTACTTTACAACTAGTACTGAAATAGATTTTTTTTCCATTCCATAAATGATTTGGCTAAACAAATTTGACTATTCTAAACAAAAACAGAATGCCAGTACAGCCAAATTCCTTGCTCAGAAATAGTAAGTACATTGAGATACATTGGTTTGTATTTTTGCAAATACTTTGCACACGACCATAAACTTCAGCTTTCCCTGCCTCCGACTCTGGCAAGGAGAGCATACGGAGCTACACAAAGCTTAGCCAACCTGCCCAACTGCTAGGAATATCTGGAGTGTGCTGGGGACATCTAGAATTGTACAGGTTAGTTCTAGGGCAGGGCTGAGCAACATGTTGGCTGTGGAAATGGAGAGCTTGTGGGCCGTGGTGGAGCTTTTGCCCATGCTAGGGGTGGGGAGAAGTGGCATCAGGGAAAAGCTACTGTGGCAGTGGCTAGGTCTGAACCCCGGCCTGCACCAGACTGCAGCCGGCTTGGATCTGATGCCCGTGACTCCAAAAAGTTGCCTGCTGCTGTTCTAGGGCACTGAGATGTTGGGAACCTGAAGTGCAAGTGGGAAATGCGCTGATATGGCTACTTCAGTGCTGACTCTGCCCCATTCCCTTCAAAATGTTGTTTCTGTGGTAACAAGAGGCTACTTTAAGACTGCAAAACAGGAGAGGACAGGAGCTGCATATTCCTTGAAGTTATCCCAGCAAGCAATATTTTTTTAAATGGGAGGGAGAGAATAGAAATGACAAGTGTAGAGCGAAATGAGGCTGTTACTGCTTGTTTCCTCTCCTTTCGATGATTAGGTTTTACAGACTTTACACAGTGGGACTTCTTAGAGTATAGTAATAATCTCACCCTGTAGGTAGAGAAAAAAAATTATATATGCTCTACGTATAGAGCTGAAATGTGTCACTTAAAACTCAAAGCTCTGGGCTTCATTGTAAGGGTACTTCAGTAATTATGAACACTTGCAGCATTTCCATTGTTTAGCATTGTGGTTTTCTCTAAAGCAGAGTCCAATGACTTTTTTCCCTGGTGTTTGAGGATTAAAAAAAAAAAAAAAGTCAGAGGCCCCGATCCCCAGACGTATTTAGGGGCTTGCTTCCCTGTTTTGGCACTTGACTCCCATGATATTGTATTCTGATGTCAGGCTAACAAATACAGAAGAGGTCTACATAAATGGATCCTAATAAAATACATTTCTTACCTAGTAATCGGGACTATTTTCTGTCCTGGATTCTTAATGCCCCATCAGTTCTGGATTTGGAGGACCAGAATGCTTCCTTTGCAGTCACTCATTCAAGGAACACTTTCTGTTTTTGCCAACATGATTTAAACTGATTACTAATGTAAGTTAGTAAATCCTGGAGGAGGTGAAATTGGGGAAGATGAAGTTTTATCACATCAGTCATCCCTTGCTATAACAAACAGCCCTTCAAAATTGAATGTTCAGAGAACATTCATTGGACAACAAATTGTAGTGTTGGTCGGTCTGTCTGATTAAAGAGCCTAACACATAACCAAGCAGTGCACTGAAATGTATTGTGAGAGACCTTGAGAAATGTTAGGGGTATATGTGCATTGCTGCTCTTCGGTGTATGAATGCTCACACATTCAGCAAAACATGAAGTTGCTGAAATCTTTTAATATGGTGGTGTGATTTTTATGGCTGTTAGTTGGAAACTATCCTCCTTGGGAAATGTGTGTGTAAAATCCTTGCACAGCAGGTATGCAGAATCCATATGCATTCTGCTGGATCTAATACTGTTACAGAAATTAATCGTATTCAAAATGCGCAATAGTAAACAGTAAACCATACGAGACCTACGCAAGAGCTAAATGCACCCAAGCAAGGAATATCTGAATGTTTTATATCCTGCGTTCAAGTTTGCAGCCAAGTGAAATAGAACTTATTTCTCCCAGTCTGGAAGATGTATTTAACTTTTTTCTGTGCTAATGGAAATAATTAGCATTCTGAAAAATCACCCATATAAAGCAGGCAAATCGATCAATTACACATACCCGTTAGGGGTGTGTAAAAGGGGCCCTATTCTATTTGGATTTGGCCCAAATCGGGGACAGTGCTTCGATCCGTTGATTGGGATCACTGTCCCTGATTCGATTTGGCCGAATCCAAATCTGACAACTCAATGCTGATTCAGCGAATCAGCAATTCAGACACGGGCACAGCTTTAAAAGTTTTTTCTACGTACCTTGAGGTAACAGCATGGCTCATGATCGCTGCGGTGCTGGGGCGGATGGAGCATCCCACATCAGCGTGGGGGGCTCTCCAGCGTGCTCAGCAGCAAACCTGGAAATGGATCAGACCAGGTCTACTGGGGAGTGTGCTGGGGGGGCCCCCCTGGCCTGGCGATTGGCCACAGGGGGACCCTGGGTGCCCCCCCCAACCGAGAAGGCACCAGTTCCCAAGCCAGGGGAGTGTGGGGGAGCCCCCTAACATGCTCCCTGGTGGACCTGGAAGTGCTTCTGATATAGTTCCAGGTCTGCTGCCAAGCACGCTGGGGAACCCCCGTGCTTCTGTGGGATGCTACATCTGCTCTGCACCATTCAGAGCCCCTGCTACCTAGATGTATGTAGAAAAAACATTTAAAGCTGTATCTACGTCTGAATCACTGAATCTGTCCAAATCTCTTCGAATCGATTTGGAGAAATTAAAGAGTCCTCTGATTTGATTTGGATTCAGAGATTTGGCCGCTGAATCGGGCTGAATCTCCACCGAATCCAATAAGGGACCGAAGCTTCATACAGCCCTAATACCTATCACTATCCACATAGGCAACATAGCTAAAAAGAATGTACTCAAACTGTAGGTCCTACTGCAATAGGATTAACAATGATTTTTCTTTCCTTTTTTAGGAGCATTTCCTCCCCTACAGGGTCAAACAGCTGTTTCCCGGGAGATGACCCTCAACAACTTGTGGTTGGTTGGCATTCAGTCCCTTGCATTTTTGTCAGGTGGTATGTGGTACTGCATCCTTCGGTATTTTTATCATTGCCTATTTTAGAAGTTGAATGGGACCTGAGGACACTGAGAATCCAGGCTCTGGCAAATGAGCATCACGTGACGTGCAAATGTGAATATTCAAGAGTCAAGGAAAATACTGGATGGCTTTTTACCCCTCTCAATGGACGCTCTAAACTCCACTAAAGTGAGAGTCAGTAATATAGTGACCTGATGATGTATTTTAAGAACTCTGTATTTTTAAAGAGGGGGAACATCCCTAGACACACTTAAGCAAATTTGGCATTTGGACAAGAGGTGCAGTCATACCACCACATAGAGGAATGTCTGCAACAAGAAGCTCTGTCACCACAGGTATTACTTGACATTGTAGTTAAAGCGCAGAAAATTCAGCAACTCTCTCTCTCCTGTAGTCTGTATGACAAAGTGTGTGGTAGAGAATCCCTCATTGGCACAAAAGTTTATCACAGTTGAGCTGGAATCACATGTAGTCTGCAGAGCTAGTTATGGTAACTTAACTGCTCTCCTATCAGCCATTGTTGTATTAGACACACTCTTCCTGCAAACATGCAAGAGAGGTTTGTGGTGGAGAAAACAGTGCTCAGAAAAGCAGTATGTAATATGTTTAAAAATAATTCACCATTGACAAATCAGCCCATCCCTGCCCTGGGTTATCCATCAGACATGTGATTTCTGTACGCTAGTTGTATCCCTTCTTAGTAGGGACGATGTCAGGTCACTTGATTTATTTCCCTTTTGTGTTTATGATGTTTCATACATTGAGAATTATCTTTTCTGCAAAATGCACTTTTAAAGATTAAAATACAGTGAAGGAAAAACATATAGCTGGGGTGGGGGGGAGCTTTATCTGCAACAGACTGGAATCGTAAAGAGTGCTACCTGTTCCTGAAAGTGTGCTGGTGTCCCTGAGGCTTTTCAGTCTGTCCTCCCTTCCCCAGTGTCTTTCCTCCCTGCTCCAATTTGTTGTATATCACGAGCTGGCAAATGTGACTTTTTGATAGCTTACGGAGGCCTGTTCCCCGCATTTGTTGCAACAGCACTAAATGCATTTGTGGGACAGTGTAAACAAATCAATGCCAGTCAGATTCATATTTTGCTTTGGAAAAATGGAAGGAAACTAGTTTCTTAAAAAGAGATCTGATGGCGTGTGTAAAGCTGTAGGAAGATATTCAATGGACTGTGACAGAATGTGATCTCAATAACTGTACAGAGGGCTATATTAAGCCTGCCCCTGTGCTGAAAAGTATTAGCCTCAGTGGAAGGAGAATTAATTAGTCAGAGGCAAACTGGACTCAAACCAGATTTTCAGATGTCTGGTTAACAATGCTGTTGAAAGGCAGTCAGTAGTGTAGGTTCTCATTTCCAGCAGGTTGGCCTCACTTGATTACACAGGTAGAAAAGATCCATTTCTAGAATGAAATTCCTGTTTGAGTATAGGCCATGTAGCCAGAATTTTATGTATAACTATGGTGTATTGTCTTTGGATTGTAATTTTATTGAGCGCAAACTAAGCCAACTGTAGTTGTCCATGTTGAGTTAGCAGTATAGTTTCCCCTTTGATCCCCCTTGTCATACAAGAACCAGTTATCTGAATATTTTCCTTTGGGGGGAAAAAGCATACCAAAATATGAAATAATGCGAATTTTCCCTGGTTTAATGGAAAAGGTATCCTAATTAAATATGCCAAAAAAGTGGTTTCATCATAAGGTAACACAGTGTGGATATTAATAAGAAGATGGTTAATAAAAGAACAACTGAAATACCTCATTGACTGTTATGATACCACTGCAGGTGAAATGCAGAAGACAGTGTTATTATTTCACGTGATGTTTAATGTAAGAAACTATTTCTAAATCCATCTTCTTGACAAAATACAGCTGAATTCCATTGTAAAATTAAAATTAATCTTAATGTGAGGTACGCAAAGGGAGGCCAGTTTGGGCTGTGAACATGTTCCTTTACCCGTTGATTCTGCCAATTGGTGAGGTTTGTTACTTTGGGTGTAGATTGTTTCCTCTGCTGTATTGCAGGCAGGCGTTGCAGTCCAGTACCAATCCCCTGATACAAGGGTGCAAACAAGCTGCTCTAAACTTGAGTAGACGGGATTCTGGAAACAAGCTGCAGAATGTTTTCTATGTCTTTCTTCCTAACGTGGGATGATTGGAACCACTTGGCATTCCAGTTTATATTGTTTCTTAATTAGGAGGGGAAGGGCTGATATAAAAAAGAGAGGTTTTGTTGCACGACAGAAGCCTGCATCAGAATATTTGCTTTACAAACCCAATAAACATGCCAGGGTATATGCTTTTCAAATGCACTATTGTTTCCAATGGCCTGTAATAAGTACTGATGTGCTGCCTAATGAAATAACAGCAATATGTGATCATGTGGTAAAGTGACCCTTTGACTTACTGGTACCTTTGGGTTTGTTTGTTTTTGTTTTTGTCTTTCAATTTGTTTGTTTTTTAATTCTGCAAAACCTTTATATGAAAGCACTGATTGTAGTTTCAATGTGGAGACTAAATTGCATTAGATTGCTTCTCTGCTACTTGCACTGGAAAATGTGAAGAGTGTATGTCATCAAGTCTCCATAGAGTCGAATTTAGGTGATCATGGAAAGGAACTAGTTTCCATGTTAGGAACTTGGATTTTTTTTTTTGTCATGAACATAGTGCTGGTTAATAATGGAGAATAATAAAGAGCGATAAAAATCTTTTTAATAAGGGAAAAACATAAAATACATGTAGGAGAAATGAGTTTCAACTCAGTTACCCGTGTGTCAGCTAGTTGAGGTTTATAGCTGTAGTTAGCATTTTTGCTACAAGTTATCGTTTGTGACAAGCCCCGCGGGGGGGGGGGGGGTGTCCTCTGCTTGAAATTGTATTCTCTAAGGGGAAAATTGCATCCAGTAGAAAATTATCTGAATGAACGTAATGATAAAATTCACCCACCAAGTTCTTGTCTAATTAATACAACTTTGAATTTGGTGACACAAAGGGCAGTATTGGGAAGGAATGAATAAAAACATGCGGGGTGAAGACAACCATGGAAAATGTAATTACAGAGATTGGGGACATGGGAGAGAACTAAGGACTTCTTTAAAGTGCAGAAATGAACTTGGGTGTATGCCAGGGTAATGTAAAACACATTTCAGTTCTGTTAACTTCTACAATTGTTCACCAACTGTTCTTTAACCTGTAACAATATAACTCTGTTAAGAGTTGCTGCTCTTTTGATCCCACTAAAGGATGTATGCTAGCCCCATTCTCACATTCTGGAAATGCTTGGTTTTTGCTTTCTTCCCTTTTGTGCCAGTCCTTTCTCTTCCAACTTACCCACTGTTCTACAATGTATTTCAGTCGCAACTTGTCCTGCAAGTGAGCTTGTCGTGTTAATCATATTTAAAAATCAAGACTCTTATCTATTTTGGTCACTGGAAAAAAAAAAATTCTCTTGTTTAGATAAATTATAAAAAATAAGATGCATCTCACTCAGTCTTGAAATATGACTACACATCGTGCTGTTCACCTTTCACTGCTATTTCACAGAACAGTGTGGACATAGTTGTGTGTGTGTGCGTCTCTCTTATTTTGGTCTGTCGTTGTCACAGAATGCCGTGAACCTTTATATCTGTTTGTAGAAGATGACAAAAATACCAAACACTGTGTGGCAGAGATTAAACCGGTCCACTTTACCTTGGCATAAGTGTTGGGACCAAAGGTACTTAAATCTGGGATTTCCAAATCACAAAACTGATCTCGGGGATGGTTTTTGTTTGTTTGTTTTTAACTTGGACAGACCTTCTTTGTACTAATGTAATACAATCTTAATGGAATAAAAAAATGTACAATTGAAGACGCTGTATTGTTTGGAAATAATGGAGCCATATAAAAGAAATTATACAGTATTTTGCAAAATTGCTTTTTTGAGAATTTTTTATTTAATTTTTTTAAAGCAGTTGGAACAGCAAAATAAAAAACTCTAGTTGCAAGGTCTGCATACTTTATGAATGTTTTGAATGGCTTTTATTTTTATTGTGTAAAACTAGACTACATGGCTGTGGTACACACAAAACATCTCTAAAAGAAAAAAGTCTATGCATTTTACAGTTCAACTCTTTATCACTGGGTAATGAAATGAGTATATATTGAACAGCTGTTGTGTCAACGTGAGTTAATTTCTCTTAATGTTATTACAAACTGATGTGGAGGGTGATTGTACACGAAATTTAGCTTTCTTGATGCCATATTGTTTATTCTAGCCACTGAATTTTCCCCACTCCCTGCTGCATTTCCACATTTTCTTGTATATGGTCAGAATTAATGCAGAAGCCCATAGAAACTGTTAGTGATTTTGCAAAGGTCTGGTCACACTTGGATTTATTTTACTGAACTCCTTTCTTCCTTTTTATTTTTTTATTTTTTAAACTGGATCCTTCCAGCAACCAAGACCAATTTTCAGAAATGTAGATAGGCACCAAAAGAGATTTTTCTCTTCTAAGACTCATAGGCGATTTTGTTTTTCTGTTTTAATGTGATAAAATAAAATTAATTTTTTTTCAAGATTTCATGTGCTTCTAATTCTTAATTAGTGAGATGATTTTGTTTGTTTGCTTGCTTGCTTGCTTGCTTGTTTGTTTGTTTGTTTGTTTGGGGAGGGCAAAGTTGTATTAAATGTCTTCTGTGCTTACCTTAAAACACCAAGTAGCAAAATTTAATCATGGTTGTGCTCACAGTGCAGTTTTGTTTTTAGTTAGTGAGTACGGAAATTGTTAGTGTCTCTCAGTATTAAAAGTATAGGTAGTTGCTGCTCATAAAGTTCTCAGGAAGAACATGAGACTCATCTTTCTGTGTCAGAAAGCTAAATTTGAACTAAAAAGAGGGTAGTGAGGGGAAGAGCAACTTCTGGCCCTTATTCTGCCAAAATTCCCATCACATTTGTTGAAAGTAAAGCAGAAATTGGCTCAAAGCATCTAGAGGCAGATCTCTGTGCATTTCATCTCTGTTCAAGTTAATGGGAGTTGGGGCATGTAAAATAACAGCTCTGGGCCCTAAGCAAGCCATGGACAGACAGCCTCTGGTCAATGAAGATGGGAATTCAGGGTTTTCCTAAAAAGATTGTTGCCATCTTGTACATTTTTGATTTATGGAGCAGTCTATTTTAAACAACTAGCTAGGCAAAGCAATATAGAGTGAGACAGGGCCATCCATGTTGTGGCCCTGGAATATATACAGTAGCACTTAGTTAAGTGTCACTCTTAGTTTTGTAAGCTGTTAATATTTTAACAAGCAATGCTGTAATAAGTAAGAGAGAAATGCAACTCCTTGGGGCATCCTGAGGTGTCCTACACAACATGCAGAACAGTGCAATGGTTGTAGTTATGTCTACCTCTTCATTTCCCTTCTGCATTTTGTTTTGGCTTCTCTGTGGTGTTTTTCAGTAATAGGTGTGAAAAGTGTACAGAAAAAAGGGGAGAAGGAGAACTTGAAAGCTGACTCTAAAGCACTAAGAGATCCAGTGCTGACCAGCCCTGTTCTCACGTTGAAAAAGCCATTGTTTTTAATTCCTGCTTACTATGAAAATGTTTGTTTAAAAAAAAAAATTCCTTCCTGATGAAAAGATGTATTTTTAAATGGAAAAAAATCCCTCTCTTGGCTATGAGAATGTCAGCTGTATGAGGTGTGACCATATCATAACATGCTGATCGGATATGACTCAATAAATTTTTACCTCTCAGGACTCTAATTGTTGTCCTTTGCTTTCCTGGTAACCTAGAATATTTGTGAGCTTGACAAACACCAAAGATTTTAGCCTAGACACCAAAACAGAGGTGACTTGACTGACTTCCATATGCATGCATTCAGTTTATTAAGGAATATCTTTTACTGATTTAAAAAACATGTACAGTGTGGAACATACACAAAAGCATAGTCTTTTCTAAGGCTAATTCAGTGACTTACAGAGGTACTGGGAAGGAAGAGTTCACTTTCTGGTTCTAATTGTCTGTCTGACATTCACTTGCTCTCCCTTTTCATCCTGCATCCCAGACTGGTAAGGGTTCAAAATACTGTAAAAAAAAATAAGTTTTCTTACAATATGGAAGATAAAGTGAATGTAAAGGCAGCAAGGTTCAAAAGGGGGTCTCCAGCTCTTTACAGGTAACCTTCCTAGAGTGGTGGCCACAATCCAAGGACTGTGTAGTAGGAAGTCAAGACCAGGGTATCTCCCAGAGCCTGATACTGGAAAAATGACTGGACAGGTCAACAGGACTTCAACTATTACTGGTTTGAAATGAGAGCAAACACTCGTTATTCTTGAGAATGGGCTTTGTGACCAGTAGCTCTGCGTGTGCAGGAGGCTCTAACGTCCCTTATCCATGTGCAAATGAACTATTCGTTCCTCTTGGTCATTGATGCCTTGTTTTTGTATCCATTTTTATAATCTGCTGGCCAGATGACATGCTTAAGATCTTTTCAAAAGATGGTAATGTGGTAAGTAACTTCTTGTTAAATAAAACGGTCTCTTACATGTTTTCAAAAGCTGAATATTTGAAACACTCCACAATCTAAACGTGATGCATTTATTTAATTGGCAGAAATTGTCAAGAAGGGTCAAATTGTGAGTATTCAAAGATTTGGCTAAGGATTTGAACAGTTAATGGTTTGGTTTGGTTTTTAATCTTGGGTTGCTGTGAAAATGTAAGAGAACTGGGAAACATGAATTCTGTGCTAGTATTTAAAGAGAGTAGTTGGGGTGAGTCAGGTAACTCCAGGCCAGATAGCTTGTGCAGACAGTAAAGTATTAAAAGACGATAATATGACTAATGCTAGTCAACAGGATTTATGAAAAATGGGTCCTGTTACAAGACGTTGCTCAGATTTTTTTAAAGAGATTACAAAATGATAAAAGTAACTGGGGTTGATCTAAACTCTGATCATCCAGGAATTGTGACAAGTGAGGATTTTTGGGGGGTGATACGTTGTGTTGGACCAGCTGTATAGCAGGATAGCATTAGATGTGCTTTCACTCATTCGGAAAAATGCCAAGCTTCCTAAGATCCTCTAAAATGCAAATATGTGAGTGTTGGTCAGTTTAAAGCCTGTAACAAAGGGCTCAGGGCTTGCATTCTTAACACTGCACTTGTTTAACCATGTTCAGAAGTTGGTCAAAATACTGGAGCCTTGTCTAACCTACAGTCTCCGCTGCTGCCAGCACTGATGCGTTGTACCTACATGACCAAGTTCAGGAACACCTTTGGGAGCTCAGAGCTGAACCTAATGGAGTTTCTGAAGTGAAGCATCTCCTCCCATGAGGCAGGAAGCTGACAACCAGGGCTTGGTTCTTGGCAAAACAAATCCTAATTAGCAGACTAATGAAACAGCTAAAGGGGCACAGCAGGAAACCTTCATATTGTTTCAAGGTAAGTGTTATTCATTACTAGACAAACCTGCAGTAAATATCTACTGACAGACTACACTCAAACCTATGTTAGATTTAAAAAAAGACTTCTAATATAGAGCGCTTGTTTCAGCTTCTCTCCCTTATTTAATGCTGAGCAATGTTCTCTTTGTCGCAAACCATAGCATTTTGACAGTGGGCTTTCCTGTTTCTTTAGCCATTTTTTTTTATTGCATGCATTTGAAAGGGACATTGTATTTTTATATAACTCCTGTTGAGGAATAGACGTTTAAAGTGAAATTTGCATGCAACTTTAATACCACTAGCATTTTCATTAGACTGCTAGCTAGAGGAGAGGTGTGTATGTGTATCCTTAGTCTCAAGGCAGGCATAGTTCTTTGGGTAGATGTGATATCTTTTA